GTTTTTTACCCAGTGAAGAGTACACCTGCAGTTCAAGATTACTGGGGTAACTCATTACCACAAAGACAGATTACTTCCCTAAGTAATTACTCCTAAGACTATCCCCTGACTGTGCAGTACTTCTTAGCACTCTGGAAACTTTTTATGGTGACATGTGAAACAAGGTGGAAGTTGCCCTAGCTAAGGTTTTGTTAACAGGCTATAACTCAATCCTTGTTCATCAAAAAGCTCATGGAGGTACACAATTAGTTAGCAGATACCAGTTTTCTTTGTCTGAGCCATGTGATGTTTCGTCATAGGGGTTTCAGGTGAGATTCACCTAAGCTACACATGGTCATCAAAAAGTTAGTTACCCAGTCTCAGGTAATCATGCAGGCTTCCTTTGTACTTGATGTTCAGACAAAGGCAGCTCCAGAAAACTTTTTAAATCTATCTTAGATAGCTCTCACCAGACAATATAAATCAGATGTTATAAATTGCCTTTTGGAGGTATCTTTCACTTTGCATCAATCAGTTCGGGTAGAGCCTGGTTGGCCCTTTTAGACCAATTTTTCAATGGGTAAAGTCAGGGACTATGAATTACACTCCAAGTGAAATTGCATAATGTTGGATTCTCAACCAAAGAGAACTGAAGGCAGGATGCAGAGAGAATACCTGAGCAAACGCCAGTTGTAAACTGGAAGCAATCCCTCTAGCTCAGTAAACCCTGTAGCAATCCCTCAAGACTAGTGCTGTGCTAGATTAATCAGCTCTGATGAGTTTTTAGGTAGCTGATGGACAGCATCATAGCAACATGGATGTACTGTTAGAGATGACAAGCACTCAGTCGTTACTTCTCTTAAACTGCATTGCATGTAGACACACCATGAGAAGCTTTCAGCAGAGTTTCAATTTGTAACTTCAGACTGGGTTAAAAATTAGGCTCCAGACATAAGTCAGAAAAACTCTTTCAGAAGAAAGGTTCCCACCAGGCTATGCAAATTGAATCAGTTTGAATTTCACAGATATTGAATTTCACAGATAAATTCTTGTGTCATTTTATACTCTGGCTCCATCCTGGACTGGAATGCATCAGTGACAGCCACGTGCTTTAGCACGTGCTTTATGCTGATGGGCATGTGCCGTGAACTAATGGCTTCACTTACAGTACCACAGGGAGATGTCTCAGAGATCACAGTGTCCTTTGGAAACAGCAGGAGACGCTTAACTCTCAAAATCAGGGGTTAAACTTGTCAAAGGTGGACACGGGGCTTTCACAGTAAGACTTTAGGACCACCTCGGTAAGGAGGTTCAAAGACAATGTATATGCTGAGGCAAACCCTGAGCTAAAAGAATAAAGGCCAGATGTGGCTCTCAGCCTGTTCAACCAGTGGGGTGTTTGAGTCATGATTCCAACCCTGTAAAAGCTTGTGCTGACTTGAATACATAACAGCATCGTTATATTATTTGTCCATATTGTGGATTTGCATAGGGTTCGCAGTCGGGGTCACAGTCTCTGAAATAGTACTGTGCAATCTTGGCCCAAAAAACTGGCAATCTACAAGGTAAGACAAGTATAATGAACCAAATCCTGAGTTTCTAACGCAGACTCGGATCCCATACTTGCATCACGAACTTACCTGAGACTTTTAAATCAAAAATAAGAGTGTCATCTCCAATTTTGCATGTGTATATTCCTTCATCTTCTTTTGTCACAGCCGAAGCCACAAGCTTATGCAGTTTTCCTTTATCTTCCATGGTGAATTTCTTGCTGGCTGTGATTTCTTTGCCATCTTTGTACCACTTAACCATGATGTTGGCCTCAGAGGTCTCAGAAACAAATTCAGCCTGTTTTCCAGAGACAGCCCTGATAACTCCTCCAGTTTTCTCTTTGTTTACGAAGTTTGCAAGTGCTGAAACAAAATACAGACACACAGCGCTGGTAAAGAATTGCGTGGACATCAGTAAATGTATACAACACTTTCACCTACATTAGGTATTAATTTATCATAAGACCAAATATGCATGTTTAATTATGGATCCAATCACTAGATTCTAATGCAAAAGCAGCCAAAATCCAGCCTTTGTAAACCATACACCTGATTATCATACGACCAAAAACTAGAGCACATACAACACAGGAGGCTGAGCCAAGGGGAGAGGAAGCCCTAGGCAATAGGGCTTTAAGAAAATATCTGGGAGAGGTGAGGAAAAATATGACACAAGCAAACGGGAGGGAAAGCAATGAAGGTTATTGAATCATTGTATTGTAACCACCTGGCAAATAAATCGACTCTAAAAGAGGTTAAAATGTAAATTAAATTATATTAAATTAGAAATCCATACAGATATCACATAGGACTGAAATGAAAAGAAATTTCTTCCTGGAAATTAACTGGAGCATAGAGGGTAAATAATAAATCTGGCACCATATTAACAAACAGTGGAATAATTGAGTCACCAATAGCCTCAAAGCAAAGATTCAAAAACCCACCAATATCTTAGCTAAAAATATGAGCCTAAAATCACAGTCCCGTTTTACTCTAGATAATGGAATTAATTTTCAAACATCTTCTTAACACATTATTTTAAAACAACACACACAACCAAATCACTTTATTGGGACTGTGCAATCAAAGCTACTAAAATAAAAGCCTTGATTATATATGCATTTTTTCCTTAATTTCAAGAACATGCATGCACAATACAAATTAACAACTCTCTGCAGAATGCCTGGCAAAAGCCGTTATTATTTTTCACTGCTGATACTGTAACAAACAGTTACAGTCCATGGTCTGGACCAGCTAAGCGTGACGCTCTCAGACTTTTGCTCCAAAGGTGGTGTTATCAGTGCTACGTCCTGGTGCAATACGTGGGGATTCTCCTTTAGCTCAAAGACTAAAGGATGGGTTTTGCATTTAGTTTCCTTGCTTTTAAGAACATTAGATTTCTCCAAGTCTGTGGTAGTGCTTTTAGTTACGGGCAAATATTTGGTAGGGAACCAATATTCACCAGCTTGTACAGCGGCAGAGTCTGGAGACCTAAAAATGAAGAGTGAATCGACTTGCCAAGCAGTGCACAGGTAAGAAAGAAAAAGAAAACCCCAGTCCCAAATCTCCCCCAGTCAAAGACTAAGAAATACCCAATGAGCAAACAAACAGGGAAAGGGAAGGGAAGGATGTGAAGGTGCAGCCAAGGGCCTCTCCGGTTCTGGTCCTCAAGAGACTCCGTTCAATCTCCAGCTTCTGGCAGGGACAGGAGCTTGCATGTGACCTCTCCAGGTCCCTACCAGCCCTGTTTTCTAGGGTTTACTAAGTCTGCTTATCAGAAGCAATACCTATGGGTAAAGAAGTCATACCAGAAGCATTTAAACCAGGGAAAACCTTTCTTATTGTTTTTTCCTGGGGCCTGTTTCCACTTGTTTCTCTAATGACTTATAATGGGGGAGCTTTCCCTTCAGTAGGATAGCACCACGGTCCTTCTCCTCTACCCAACCGCTTACACCCATGAAGCCTGCAGGGGCCAAACGCTGCTGAGACATCTACTTCTCCACCAGCATTAGTGGAACTCAGTCCACAGGTTAAAAGGTTTGGGAGGAAGAAGAGGGAGATAGGTTCATTCACGCACCTTCCCCTTCCTTAGAAAACCAGAGTGAAAAATACAACCGCGGCAATCTGAAGGAGACTTCTCGGATGTCCCTTTTCGACGCAGGAGGTCATGTGCCAGAGGACGCCTGGCACGTAAAGTCTCATGGCAGCGGAGGGACTGCCGTGACAAATGGCAAGTGCATTTTCTAGCGGGGCTCTTTTGGGCAGGAGGCCCGGCGAGTGACACACCTCTGGCCATGGCTCAGCACGGTGGCCTCTCGGCAGCCACGTGATGCCCGTGTGCCAGACACAGCTGACCTGCACATCAAATGATTCGCCAGCTAGCTGCCTCTGACTTACAGGAGGAACAGACAAAAGGCAGCGATGCTGAAAGAGGAGATGTATCAAAGCTGATTCTCCAGGAATCAAGCTACAAACAGCAGACGTTTAAGTTACAGCTTGTCAACACAGATTTTTAAAATAATAGCGTTGATTACTCATTTGATAGTCACATTACAGTGAAAAGCACAAGGAAACATCCATCAGCTAATTCAATTAAATCTGTGGGTAGATCTGCTAAAGAATGAAAAATGATGCTAAAGAGGCAGAGAGAGAGAAGAAAACCAAAATTAAGAAGTGTAGGCAGCAAATTCCTCCCTTCATAAATGTAGTCACCGTTTTTAATTAATTTTTTAGCTCTCTTCGCACCTCTTTTGAGAGTAACCAAGTGATTGTCAACTGCAAAACACACACATTACTCTGGGGCTTTGTTTCTACAGAGACTAAGGAGGGCAAGAAGCCAGCAGAATAAGATGATGAAGCACCTCATATGTACTCAGTGTAGAAACAGTGTGATCATTGCTGGGAAGAAGGTGAGGGGTGAGTTACGGGACGGAACACAGAAATCAAAAGGCTTGAAGTTCACAAAGCGAACTTGCCAGTTCAAAGCGAAATAGCTATGGAAAGCGAAATAGCTATGGAAAGCGAAATAGCTATGGAAAGCGAAATAGCTATGGAAAGCGAAATAGCTATGGAAAGCGAAATAGCTATGGAAAGCGAAATAGCTATGGAAAGCGAAATAGCTATGGAAAGCGAAATAGCTATGGAAAGCGAAATAGCTATGGAAAGCGAAATAGCTATGGAAAGCGAAATAGCTATGGAAAGCGAAATAGCTATGGAAAGCGAAATAGCTATGGAAAGCGAAATAGCTATGGAAAGCGAAATAGCTATGGAAAGCGAAATAGCTATGGAAAGCGAAATAGCTATGGAAAGCGAAATAGCTATGGAAAGCGAAATAGCTATGGAAAGCGAAATAGCTATGGAAAGCGAAATAGCTATGGAAAGCGAAATAGCTATGGAAAGCGAAATAGCTATGGAAAGCGAAATAGCTATGGAAAGCGAAATAGCTATGGAAAGCGAAATAGCTATGGAAAGCGAAATAGCTATGGAAAGCGAAATAGCTATGGAAAGCGAAATAGCTATGGAAAGCGAAATAGCTATGGAAAGCGAAATAGCTATGGAAAGCGAAATAGCTATGGAAAGCGAAATAGCTATGGAAAGCGAAATAGCTATGGAAAGCGAAATAGCTATGGAAAGCGAAATAGCTATGGAAAGCGAAATAGCTATGGAAAGCGAAATAGCTATGGAAAGCGAAATAGCTATGGAAAGCGAAATAGCTATGGAAAGCGAAATAGCTATGGAAAGCGAAATAGCTATGGAAAGCGAAATAGCTATGGAGCTCGCCCCAGACAATGTCTGACAACAGGCTAGACTGTCTTGAGTCAGGTTTTATACTCTGAACCTCAGTAGACATCTAGATGATACCCATGAGGAATGATCTGGGATATACTGGGGCTTTTCAGCCAAAACCTGGTCCCATTCAAGGCAGAGGAACCTCTCCTATGAACTAGTTCATAAAAGCTTGCACAGATGGGAAGGCTTGTAAGAGGGAGGCTTAACGCTGATGGTTTCAGGGGAAAGGTTCAAGTCTCTGTGTCTTGCTCTGGGAGTGGATGTGCCCACCAGCTAGGTAGCATGCAATCGGGAGGGAAGGGACTGCCTTGAAAACAAGAACAGCCGAACAACAGGGCAGCTATAAAACAGTGCTGGTTCAAATCTAACAAATGGCAATATTAAAAGAAAATGACATTTTGCTGTTTGTTCTATACAGTCCTCCATCTGAATACCTTGCAAATAGAAATGGGTCAAGCCATCCAATGTGCCCTGGAAAGGTCTGTTCTTATTCACCAGGGTATTGAGAGAAAACAAAAAACAAACAAATAACAAAGAAATCCCATGATGCCAAGATGATCTTGGTCCATCAGAACTTTAATCAGAGCTGAACTAGCTCCTCAGTGACTTGTCCGATATCACATAGCAAGAATAGGGCAGACGTGGGATCATGTCCTGCCCCTGCGGCTGAATTTCTTCATCACAAGAGCACCTTTTCACTACCCACCATTCAATCTCACGAAATAAGACGACGTCAATTTGAGTGAAAGCACAGCTCTTACCACTGAGACCCAAGTTTACTCCCAAGTTCTCCTACTCTGGGACTACAGACACTGTCAACGCTAGATGTTGATGGGGAGTTACCACAACCTCCCTGCACTGCCTCTGGAGCACTCCCTTTCTGTCCCTTGGTGACTCCATTGGCTTAGGGCAGGAGCGGGCCATTAATACAAAGCAGCCCAAGCGGTCACATACCTTTCACTGAAAGTTGATAGAGCATTTTATCCCCTTCACAAACGCACTCATAAACTCCAGCATCCTCTGCTGCAGTGTTGCGAATTTTCAGGATGTGCATCTTCCCCACAGTATGAAGTTCGTATTTTTCACTGGCCTTGAGCTCTTTCCCATCCTTCATCCACTTCACAGTAGCCTCTGTGTCCGAAAGCTCGGCCTGAAGTTTGGCTTCCTCCCGCAGCCGAGCGGAGACCTTTTCTACATCTCTGCTCCTGTTGGTAAATCTCACTGCAGCACCTGTCAGCAGCAAAGGTCTTGTTATTGCAAGTTACAGCGGGTTAACGTGTCCCTGATATGTGTCTGCCGTAGACCATGAGATCTTTGAAAGAGAATTAGGTCCTGTTCCTGCCCTCACACTCATGTCAATACCAAGCAATTTTTTCCAGTCCAAGAGACCCAACCTGGTTTTATTGTCAGAGTCACTAAGAAAAAGAAAAAAAAAGCAAAACTTTCTACTGATTAATAATATTCTAAACATGCTTCTGCAGAGATTGTCACCCAAAGTCAAACACATCCTTCCAGAATGAATGTCTATTCATTACCTTTTGCCATGCAGTGTAGGTAGATACAGATCTTATCGTCATTTCATAGAGGAAAGCTGGAGCACCCAACTCTCAATGCTAAATCGAGTTACATGATACTAACTTATACATCACACACATCTGTAAATACAAAGCGGTTTTCTTTGGCTTGATATAAAATGATAATGTGATGTGGTACTTGTGATACAGAAGAGCCCCACACAAGTGATTCCCCTACTGGTGTCCAGCACCTCTGGAGCCCTGCCTGGTTTGGTTTCTCACCCTGCCACCCCATGTGGATGCCTCAGACACCCTAGGCCATCTCAGGTGGCACTTAGCAGGTATGTTTAGACAGGTCAGTCAACCAAGTTCTGAGGTTTAGCTGAGGAGATACCTCTTTTTAACCCCGAGGTGTCTGAGCCAGCCTCCAAGCTCCTCTCATAGGCAGTGGGAATATTGTCAGTACAACCATTGGGGTCACCCAAAGGCACACACCTGCACGTGGACAGGATAAACAGCTCTCTGGGCTGGGCTCACTGCATGGATGAAAGGAAAAAAACTCCAAGAAAAAAAACTTTGTTAGTAACTAATGCTCCTTTACTTTTGAAAGGCTCCACTATAGTCAGAAAGACTAGCCAAACCTGGAGCTGAAATTACTAGTCTAAGGTGACTCAGTGGTAGATCTGGTGACAGAATCCACTCACTGATGGTTGTGAACTACAGAAATTCATGAGCTGATGTTAAGCAGTCTAGTTCAGATACCAAGCAGCTGGCTAGATCCACAGATTCACTCTGAGCTCTGTGCTGTCATGGTTAGGTCATTACCAGGACCCACATTAATTCATCTGATGCAATTTCAGGTACTTCCTATAGTCCAGGCATCAGTAAAAGCCTCCAGACCCAGTTCAGGGTCCCATCAGGTCATAGCAACCACCCCTTGACTGGAAGAAGAAAGGACAGTGATCAAGGTAAATACCTTTCACTCTCATCTTGGTGCTGGTGTCAACGTTATCGGCAACAAATTTCACTTCTGCTCCATCATCGTTCTTGGTGACATTCTTTATGATCAGGGTGTGAGTAGTTTGGGTTCTCTTAATGATGTAGGTCTCACTTTCCTGTAAGACTTTACCATTAAGATACCAAGTGCCGGAACATGTCGTCGTGAGGTCAACAGTAAAAAGGGCATCCCCTCCAGGTACAGCTTCAACAGTTGTCAGGGGGGTTTTCACAGCCAGGACTGGTTCTGGGGAAGAAGAACAACACGTATCTCTGAGACCAAAGGACAGAAGACTGCCATGCTGGAGAATAGTCCTTCCTAAGAACGAAGCTCTTGGGGTAAACAAGACAGGAGAATAAAATCCTGCAGCCTTATACAATTTGCATGCACTGAAGGCAACGCATGGTTGGTCAACAGGATTTGATTTCTACAGCTGCAGGTGACTGACTTCTGGCATTAGGGCAAGTCCTCTTTCTGCACGGAAAGAGCAACAGGCATATTTTACTTTTCCCCTAAGATGTTTAAAGGCATAACAAGCCTGAACCACCAACGAATCAAAGGAAGAAGCAATCCCATTGCTCGCAATGATTCTATTGGCACCCTAGAAATAAAGTAAACCCCCCATATTTCTCCTAGTAACTCTAAGATTAAAGAGAGACTGACTGGAACCTGGTTTTCATGACAGTATGATCATCCATAAATATTCTCTAGGTGCAAGTTTGATATCTCATTTATATACTGAAAATTATATTATAAGCCCACTTCAATTTTTCCTTTCATACCAGGTCTAGAAGAAGCACTTACAGGCTTAAGGTCCATTGCAGAGAGCTCTGCCTCTCACACAGCCTGGTGTGAGATATTGGAATATAAGCCTACTCAAAGCTCTATCACAGAAACCCAACCATCACGTTGGCAACGGTCAGTGGTTGAAACGAGAAAGGTTTTGCTGTGCTATTGCTCTATCCTCCTCAAAGTCATGAGATACGTCTTTAGAGCACCCACATGGCAGATCAGCACAGACTGACCCATTTTATGACGGTTTTGTGCTCACCAAGGTGCATGCTCCCTGGGAACTCCAGGTAGGGGCTCTGTCCATAGGCGTTGACTGCAGACACTCTGAACTGATAGTCAGCCTCTTCTGACAGGTTGCTCACCGTGAACTCTGGGACAGGGACATGAGACTCGTGGCACCTCACCCAGGTAAAGCCAGTTAGTTTCTTGCGTTCCACAACGTAGCCATCGATTGGAATGGGGCGGTCCATCTTCGGAGGGGACCATGCTAGCGTCACTGAGGTTTCTGTTTTATTTTTCACCACAGGGTCAGCTGGGGGTTGGGTGGGAGGTTTTTTGGGAGCTGCACAAAGGGAAAAAAAAAGAAAACAGAGCAAGAAGTTTATGTCAGAGCACAAAAGCTACTGTGCCTCACTGTGCCTACTGTGCCTCACTGAAAAAGCTTACACCGGACTAAAAGCTACTTTTGCTTAATAAACCTCCATAAAACATTGATGTGAGATGGAAAAGCAAGAGAATGGACAGAAGACGTTTTTGGACTACACAAAAATGTACAATACGCCTACCTCCACAGCTAAACGTGTGATTTCAACACAATGTTACAATTGTCTGCACAGACAGAGAGTCTACAATGAACAATTCATAGGCTTAAATTTTCAGTGCTAGACACAGACCCACACCACTTCCTATACAGCTCCTGGGCAAAGCAGACTAACACTCAGCTTGTTATTTTCACTCAGAAGATGGGTAAAACCACCATCAGAGGTTGTTCAAAATTCTGTGCACTAAATTCCTGTTCCACTTCCCTGGTGTGAATCCAGGCTAAAAAAATAAATAAAAATGAAAATACCTCAATGGGATTACTCTGGCAAGGTGGCACAATTTTGCCCTCCTTACTAGACATCATTGCACAGGGATAGTTGCACTAATATTGTAAGTCTGCTGGTATTTATCTTCTGTCAGAATTTCAACCATACACGTCCCTGCAGTCAGGAACATAGATGTGCCTGGGAGAACCAATGCGTGGCAATGTACGCGATATTTTGCAATGCTTTACACACAGATGTGGCATCCTGTGCAGCAATGTAAATCCACCCCATAAAAAGCAGCCTCTGCCAGGAGTCTATGTCCTCCATTTCTTCTCAAGAATCTGTTCCAACCATACACTTAAACATTTCAGCCCAGATCCTCAACGGGTTTCAACAAAGAGCTGCTAAACATTGTGCAACTGGGACATTTTAGAGATATAAGATAGATATGAATAAACAGTGCATGGGTTTTAGAGTTATGGAGATCTCTGTTGCTTGTTACACAGGCTTGGCTGTTCTCTGCAGCCTCTTTCATCTGGGTATCTGTCCTCTGTCCTGCTTCTGAATTTTGTGCTAACCCCATTCAGAAAGCCTTTTGTAACTTTGTCTACCAAGAATGATAGCTGTCATTGGTGATCTCTCGTTTAGTAATTTATGCAGAGCCAGGTTTTGGGGTTGGGGAATTAACTTCAAAAGGAAATGACAAAGAAATGTCCCCACCGTGAGACCCTACAATCAAGGAGATGTGGCTATTTTACAGTACCTGAGGTCACAAATGTACCCCTGCAGGTATTTGCATAATGACAATTTACGTTCACCCTCTCATTCGTCTTGAAACCTTTAGAGAAGGCTAAAATCCCATCAAAGTTATTCACTATGTTCTGCCACTGATACGGTCAAGAGGCTAGGAATTATCTGATATGCTTTAGTTACACACCTACTGACATGGTAAAGGATTCATTTCATTTAAATTTGGCTATCAAAGTTAGGTGTCTGGGTTAAGTCAGTCATCCAGACTCCAACTGTAATCCCATGGAGCACAGCACACTCGGGAGCAATTAATTCCAGCTTAAAGAAGGTGTGTGAGACGGGTGAAATGAATCACACATTGCAGATGCTTGAGTATTCATGACTATAGCTGGAGCCTGTACGATGACCCTAGACTAAAAAAAACAAACTCTGGGACAACTGATCTTCTCTCTGCCTCAGTTTACCCATCTGTAAAATGGGCGTAGTAACAAGTCAAGATACTAAGCAAATAATATGTAATCATTGCTTGCTTGATAAATGTTATTAAAACAGCCAACACCGATCTTGTCCAGCTATTGAAAAAGATGTGAACATAGCACACAGGATTCTTCAAGCAGCTAATCAGATATGCATGAAGTGTAAAAATAGGAAATCTCAATGCAATACACTTTTCCTTCATAACATAAATAGACACAGAAGTGTTTTGGGGTGCGCAGTTACCAGCCAGTCAGAGATGGATGCCAAAGGTCCCATTAGTGTAGCATTAAGCTGAAGACTAGACCCGGGAATCAGATCTCTTGACCTTACCATCAGAAACCGTAATGTAATATTTTGTTCAGAGATACCTCTTTGTGGGAAGGCAGCTTCTTACCTTCTTCTATTCCATGAATCAACACTTACTTCATAATTTAAACAGCAGAGTCTGAAATCAAACTGAACGTTGCCGTTCCCATTGAATAGGTGCTTGGTTGAATGTTAAAGATTTCCAAATACCTTAGAAACCATCACAATATTAAGTGCGACACCTCAATTTTTCCTCATTTTAGCTCAATAGAATCATAGAATAGAATCATAGATCATTATGGTTGGAAAAGACCTCTAAGATCATCGAGTCCAACCATCAACCCAACACCACCATGCCCACTAAACCATGTCCCTAAGCGCCTCATCTGCACGTCTTTTAAATACCTCCAGGGATGGTGACTCCACCACTTCCCTGGGCAGCCTGTTCCAAGGCCTGACCACTCTTTCAGGAAAGAAATTTTTCCTAATGTCCAATCTAAACCTCCCCTGGCGCAACTTGAGGCCATTTCCTCTCGTCCTATCGCTGGTTACTTGGGAGAAGAGACCAACCCCCACCTCGCTACAACCTCCTTTCAGGTAGTTGTGGAGCGCGATGAGGTCTCCCCTCAGCCTCCTCTTCTCCAGGCTAAACAGCCCCAGTTCCCTCAGCCGCTCCTCATCAGACTTGTGCCCTAGACCCTTCACCAGCTTCGTTGCCCTTCTCTGGACACGCTCCAGCATCAGAATGCCCCAACCAAGTTTAGATAATACAGCAGTTATAAACTTTTATTTAAAGATTTCTTTTTAGCACTCCGTAATTGCAATTTGGAGGTGATGGTGGGAGAAAAAAGGTATTATTCTTCCCAAATGGTGACTAGAGTTCGTGACTTGTTCACATGCAAATTGGAACTGCAGCAGAGCCAGAAACCACATGCAGTTGTCTGCCTTAAATGAAGCAGCTTTTGCCTATGAAATGCAACGCCATCAAAATAAAGCTTCATAAAATTAGGCAACTTCACCAAAATTTCATTTCTGGTCCAATCTCAACTACACTGCACCTGCTGCTACTGCTCTGTCAAGAGAAACCCTTGCTCAGATCAGATGTGCCAGCTGAAGGAATTCTCCAGCCTGCATATTATAGTCAGTCTCCCCAAGTAAAGCTAATCAAGACAGAGGTCCCCTCTTTCAGCGTAGCTACCACCAATTCACAGGGTCTTCCCAGCTTTGTCATGTCAAAGAGAGGATGAGAGAGGACACGGCTTTGCTGGTCTCCACAAAAGGAAGGAAACTATATTTTCAGGAGGAGGCATTTCCCCTTTTTCTTGCCGTGTTCTGTTTTTTTAATATATCTATTTTACTTCAATGTAAACAGCTTAAGAAGCTAAAATCAAAGTAAGATGTTTCAAGTCTGCTGAACGCTTGACTACCCCCAAAATGCTTCATGTGCATGTGTGTAGATGTTCCTTCACAGAGGTTTTTGCTTGCTAGAACAGAAATACTCTGCCAAAAATGTTCAGGGCACCTATCTACTTCCCTATCACAGCCAGCATACCCACAAGGTGCCTTCATATCTCTGTAGACTCAAAGACCTAAGGAAGAAACTGGATGCTCACTGACTTTCCCCTCCAAATCCTCAGCGAAGAGAGAGAGAGGTAAGTGGCCCCCATGTGCTAGAAGAAGTATTATCCCCATAGCAAGAATTGATAAAAGCCCCTCAAAGAAACCGATAATTTTGGAAAATGGAGGTCAGCATATAGGTGGAGCACCCGCAGTGCTCTGTGTACAATGAAGTAAGGCGACTGCAACATACGCAACTTAAACGATGTTTTCCAGGCACCTTCTGATGGGGAGAACATGCATGTCCCTTACCCCATGTTTTACTCAGTTATCGGTTTACATTCACTCCAGCACGAAATGAAAATGGTTCGGAGAAGACACAGGTTTGTGCTGTGCTCTTTCCCCAGGACTCTTCTTCTCTCTCTGTTTTGATCTCTCCATAACATTTCATAAAGCTACCGTTCAGGCTGTCGGCCTTTTGTGGCAGACATCAAACCTTCTGCTGTCTTTGGACAACAAACCTACCATGGCAGTACCTAAAACAACTGTGCTATCACGGGAGTACCTGCTTGCTAGGGAAGACCTAACACCAACGCCGAATAAAAGTGAAGCTTACTGGTCACAGTGAACTGGGTAGAAGTCCTGCTTTCATCAGCCAGGAAGGCAATCTCACCAGCATCTTCCATCTTACACTCTCGGATGATCATGGTATGTTGCTTGCCAGAGCATGTGATGGAGATTCGATCACTGGGTTTCACTTCTTCTTTATTTTTCAGCCATTGGATGTTCTGGCATTCGTTGTCCAGCTCCACACAGAAGATGGCTGTATCATTTATGAAGACCGCAGTCTTTCGTGGAAGTTTTTTAATGATGTTCCCTTTAAATAAGAAATTAATTATGGTCAGCAAACAGCAAATATTACAGTCTCTGGCAACACTGGAGCATCCAGACTACAACAGGACTAGCCAACAGCTCTCACCTAACCAAAACATTGGAGACACTATGCAGACATCCCTAAGTTAATTCCTGGGCTCTGAGTTATACAGAACAGATAATCCCAAGGACTCATTTTGGCCTTCAAAGAGAGAAAAGCAATCTTGTTCGACTACGGTCACTCATGCTTCTAGCCTAACACGCGGAGTCTGCTGTTGGGTAAACACAAGGTACGTGGCCTTGCCAAGAACAGATTTGACAGTGATACGGCTTTCATTGCCCGCATATGCTGGGAATTCAAATTAAAACTTTGCTAAAGTAGGTCAGTCTTAAACCAAACAGGTCCCTCACCTGTCTTTGGGATTTTGCCTCCATCCAAGTTACCAGTAACTTACATGACCAAGACGGCAAACACACCAGTCACCTGAATTAATAGAAAATACACTGAAAACCTCAGATTTCTTCTTAGAGTCAACCCAGAAATTCATATGGAATGAACTTTACTTATTTGTGTCCTTTCCAAGTGACTGTGATGATTATCACTTATTAGAATAACCTCAAAGTTACAAGATATTCACAGGAAAGCTTGGACAAAGCATCAGGGAACCACCCCTATGGACAGGTGGTGACTGGCTCCAGCCCTGGAACTGTCCCTGCGAGGTAGAAGAGCCCTCACCCAGGCAAAGCACCTAGAGCTATTTAATGAGAAGCAACGCTGAACTCCTTCGCGAAGCAACAGATCAGGCACATGTTTCATCAGTAGGATTCAAGACCCTGATTCTCTGCTCATCCTCCCCGAAGCTTGGCCATGTGTCTGCTCCTTGGCCATCGGTCAGTCTCCCCGACCCTGCAGCCCTTTGCATCCTGCCAAGCTCTAGCATTTGCCCAACCTCACCCTGCTCTCTCGAATCTTCTCCCCCCGGGGCAGGCACAGGGCTCCCCAAGAAGGGCTCTGCCTCCTTTCCCTCCTGAGAGCTCCACCTGGCTCAGTCACTCTCTTTTTTAGTGGAACATGCCGTAGTACCGTAGCACACACAAGTAAAACAAATACCAGCTGTCCTGCCAGGGCCAAACATGCTTACAGTGTTTGGCTGGTCTAGCCCTAACAGAAGGTGTAACAAAAAGACGTCTGTCTCAACCCTCCCGTGTCTCCGGACTAAATTTCCCCTTCTGCCTCCGCCCACGTGCACTCTCATCTCTTTGCTAATGACACAAAAAGGAATTTGCACAAGGATGCATGGCACCCAGCTGTCTTGCACCAATTTACATAGCGGAAAACTTCTGGTTTCACTAGGAGTAAAGTCAGGCTTCAAATGAGACAGGACAAGCGCAATCCTGTTACGACTACAGGTCTTCAGTTCATGCTACAGGAGATGTCAATGATACCAGCATAAGCATCATCAAAATAAAAATTACAGGTCCTGGAGTTGCATGGGTAGGTTCTTATTCATACAGCAAGTCATGGAGTTCAGAACTGATGGCCCCTTCTGCAGACATGCCCGTGTCTGATGTGGACGTCTGCTGGCTGTGAGACACCTACACCATAGAGGTTCTACACCTTGCACTTCAGTCCTAAACCACCAGAGTCAGGCGACTTGGACATGGATCTATATCTACGTTTTGCTGCTTTTTCATCAGCTTTCCAAACTCCAGAGAACAGGTCCAGATGTCAGAGATCTGGAGCGTGGATCTGGTTTCCAGTCTGACACCATACTGGTGCTGACTGCAGCCTGACCACACATCGGACCATAAACCACAGCTGCTAAGCCAGCTTCCCGGTGTGGTCAGCACCGCTCTCGGACAAGATTCACCGTTGTGTTCACCAGACACCAGACAAGACGCATGTGAGACAGTGCCAGGGGATTCATCTGATGCTTGGGATCATGTTAAGGAAAGTCTACAGTGCTGGGCTACAGCTCAAGGACTTTGCCTTCTAGGAAGCCCCTTTAAGCATAGGTCCCCACCAGGTGACATATTGTGTGCAGCAACACAACCTGTCCCTGCTCCGTGACCCTGTGTCCCAGACACACCCTGGCAGGAGACCCAGGGACCCACCGACCCACCACAGGGCTCTCCTCTCACACCATAAGGGAATCCGCTGTTCTTCACCGCACACATACACGCGGTAAATGACATTCACGAGGTCGAGTCTGGAGCCTCATGCGTGAATCTCAGACTTGGTAGGCAAGGCTTGGCCGATCTGAAATAGCAAAACTCTTTCTTACCTTGGACAGTCAACTCTGCAATGGTCCTGCTCCCTTCTTTCATTTCACAGATATAGACAGCATCATCATCTGCGGTGACGTTCTGGACAGTGAGCCGGCGATACGTGCCCTCTTCTTCGATGTTGTATTTCTTGCTCTGTCGGAGTTTGGTTTCCTCCTTGAACCAAGCCGTCTCTGTACTTGGAACAGGCACTTCACATTGGAAGGTGGCAGATTCCTTCTCCCTCACTTCAAGATCCTTCAGTTTTTCCTTGAAGGGTATTGAGGGTTCTTAAGAAGATAAAAACAGAAAGCAGGAACAAGAGGTTATGATGGTCTGGGGTAAGAGGTATGCAAATAAATAAGTCTGTAGAAAAAAATTAAACATTAACACTCCTTATTAATGATATTGATTTGTCCTGAGCTGCCATCCAAACTCATAATCAAGCCCTACTACAGTAGGTATTCTGCTCTCAAAAAAATCTTAGATCCCAGCAGAAGTATTTTAAGGACTTACCTAAAAATGAAGCAGTATCAGTCTGCACTGCAGAACCTGCCCCACAACACCACACAGAGGAGTTTGCTCTAATCCAAAGCAATGTGAACAAGTTGGTGAAGCATCAGGCTAATAAATTCTGCTCTTGTGGCCTGCTTGTCCTCCAGCCTGAACATCTCTGCACCATACCTTGTCGCTTACTGATGCCAACAAGATGAAGGGCAGGGCTCACCCAGCCTGACTCTATACATAGCAACTGCCGCTTCACCTCAGAGTAAAAGCCCTTAAAAGTAATCATGCTACAGGTGGGTAAATAGCAAACAAGCTGGTCATAGGGGGAGGGCACAGGGCAGCAGTTCTAGGTGAGTGTGAGCAGCTGAGCTGGTCAGCTGGTGCAAACCCCAATGTTTTAGGGGTCTTGCAGCAGAAGGGAGCTCAGCAGAGCCATCTGAAAGGGCACAGCAAGGTGAGCGGTGGCTGTGCACAGAAGGACAGATGTGAGGGAAAGCACAGAAGTAACTCACGGAGGAGTTTTCTGTTGTCCCCACCAGCACCAAAAGCTCTGTATCAGCTTTTGTCAATGACAATAAAAGAACTAGAGAAAGAGCCCAGGTCTCCCAATTGCCTCTGCTTTCCTCCAGCAGTTGGGCTGCAGAGCTCTGGCTTAGGGAGGAACCAGAGTGTAGATCAAACATGCAAAACAGCTGCACGGCAGCGAGGGAAAACATTTCACCAACAGAACAATGTTTAATTCCAGTGACAGCTGCGCCGTGAAATCATCCTGATACCCCAGCACTAAACTGGAGAAAGGGGAGTTGGACTGAAGAGGACAGCCGGTGGTCACAGCCACGGGACTGGTGCCACAGTCATGTCACAGACTTGGATTAGCTAGTGCTGATGCATCACCACTCATGCTTCGTGAGAGATCACGTCTTGACATGTACCTTCATCTTCTAATAACTACTGCACCAGCTCCCAGCCTTTTTTTGTGACTCCATGCTCCCTGACCACACACACACTCCCAGGCTGGTGATTTCATGTGGTCACTAGCAGTCAGTAATGCCAAGTGTTAGTCTAAGGGTCAAACAGGAGGGGACTTGTCTTAGATTTATAAGCCCATGCCCACGGTGGCACATCCCACTCAGAGTCTCCGTGGTCTAGAGGCTGGAGAAACACAAATCGAGGCTGGAGAAACATCCCACATCCAACCTTTGATGTCCAGGAGCCTCCATTTTATAAAATTCAGATCTGGTAGCTCAGTGTATAACTGAGTCCGTTACCTGCCCTCTCCTGCCCCACCGTTTGGACAGGAGCTGCTACAGGAGCAGAGCTGTCTTTGATCTGGTTTGCTCTTTTCTGAACTCACGCCCTAGAAACTCATGCGTTCAGTTTTGCAGGTCTTTTATTCAACCCCTGGCGCAGCCACGATTGCAGCTGTCACATAAACACCTCCAATCGTTTCTAGCTGAGCACAGCCTGGATAGAGATACCAGACTCTAAGGGCTTGACAGGACACCTGGAGGGAGCAATGCTATCTACTACCTGGGTTGTTATCCTGAGATTAAAACCTGACTGGGAACCCATACAATACCTTTAGGAACAGGAAGGTGACTCTAGCTCACCATATCAACTTGGTTATTTTCTTACAAAATGTTTTGCCTTAATGTACCTCAATTTAAGGCAAGTCAAAGTCTTGCCTTGAAAAGCCTTCAGCTACGGTTGCACAGACCTGCTCTGCCCGCACTCCACATGTTAATTATCCTTTTTTCTTTAACCAACAGGCAACTCAGACTCCTGCCCTGCAGTCCCATATATCACCTCTGGAAGCACCCCATGTAGTCAGGGGGAATGAAGCAGTTGTAATTCTCATGCCGTGGGAACAAGCAAGAGGATGAGATCAAGAAAGCATTGATCAGAAGGATGCCAGCCTCCAGGAGCTGGATGTAGCGTTGCTGTGTGAGGTAGGAGGGAGTCTGGAGATGACACTGAGAACACATGGACATGCCCAAGGGCCAAAAAGAAATACGAGGTGCGCCTGAGAAGCACACAAGTGTATTTCCATCCTTGGAGCAACTGGCCATGTCATTAACCCCTCTCCCTTTACAGTCACTGAGCAGTATCTAAGGTTAAAAAAAAAAAAAAAAAGCTCCTCTAGGAAAAAGCTCTTAAATGTACAAACCCAGAACAGAACAGAGTAGAGTAGAATACTTTAGTTGGAAGGGACCTACAATGATCATCTAGTCCAACCGCCTGACCAACTCAGGGCTGACCCAAAGTTAAAGCGTGTTGTTAAGGGCATTGTCCAAATGTCTCTTAAACACTGACAGGCTTGGGGCATCGACCACCTCTCTAGAAAGCCTGTTCCAGAAGAGTTGGTTGATTCTTTCGTACGTGTTGCAGTAACAGCACTGCTTTTCCAGCCAGGGAAAGTAGGTGCAAGGCTATCTTTGGCAGCTTGGGGCTACAGATATCCTCTGAAAACAACTTTGCTTTCATCCTGCTGACCTGTGCACACACATCTTATCTCACTCTGAATGGGGCTTCAGAGAGACAGCAGCTGATAAACTGAATCGAAGCCTGGGATTCACGCAGCCCACTGCTTTTTTTGCTTTGGAGATGTGGGAGAGGCTCCAAAACCCACCAGCCTTCTCTTCCCGAATATATCCTTCATGCTTTTTACATCATCTACCTGGTCAGACAAAGAGGGTTAATTTTGATCAGGGGATTACAGAAGGACTACAGAGGTCTCTTGAGTAGGCATCCCAAACAATTCATCTGGCCCATAACCAGCCCCCTGCCCAGGTCAGAGAGATGCTCAGAGAGGTGGCCACGGGGAAACGGTGTCTCCAGCTGATCAACAGGCAACCCAGATCTCAGGGAAAGATCTGTGAAAGGCAGGTGGCTCATCTTCCTTGTTAATAGACTAATCAACACAGCCCGACTATATAACCATATACTATTTACATGAAGAAGACTTGTTCTAAGGATGGAAGCACTAGACTTTACACCAGCCTTTCAGTGTATTTTAACTAGCTTAATGTGAAAACAAATAAATACACTTATTCTCCCACTGGCCAGCATGGTGAGTTCAACAGAGATCTCTGTTACTCTCTTTCACCCCACGTTGCTCTGACAGACCCCAGTCTGTCAGATTTTGACATTTACATTGCAAATTCTCTAACGTAGGGATCCTCTCTTACCTATTTGTACAGCACCTAGCACAATTCAGAAACATTTTGTGCTGTAACTACTACAGGCACGTCAGGAAGAGCTGCTGCAAATAACAACATTGTATTTGATCTGATAAACTCCATAAATATTGACTGCTCGTTTCCAAATGACTATTTGTCATGTATTACCCTTTTACAAGCTAATTCTCAATGTAAGGTCATGTTAAGTATGACTAATATGGAAGACAAAGCCATTTGGCTATCAACCCTTTTCCTTATTATCCAAAATGTTCATAATATCTGAAAATGTCCTTG